CATGGCCTTCATCAGGCATCGCATGCCCTCCAGCAACTCGTTCAGCACGGCTCGGCGGGGGACGAACGACCATATGACTTTTCTAGACCATTGTCGCCGCCTACTAGTCATGCGGGAAACTGCTCGACTACGGGGATAGATGACACGGCGGGGGAACTGAATGCGAGGCATTCGGATGCGGATGGTGAGAATCAGAGTGACTCGGTGTAGGCTGAGGGCTTGTTAAAGGGGTGTTCCACAAGGTGGCTGTTTTGGGTTAATGAGGATATGCTATGCAGGATTGGATAGTTAAGAGGATGGCGTACGGGGTTCTAGGATGGGAGTTGCGGGGAGTTCACGAAAGAGACGACACGCAGAAGATTGCATGAGGCTGAGTGGCAGCGTAGACTTTACATTGGTATCGTTACTACCTTATTTTTGGATACCCGAGCACATCAAGAGGCTGAACACATATTCGTACACACTATTCGTTCAGTACCACAACTCCTCTACTAATTATTGACATCAGTTGTTCGTATCACAATTTCACAGTCAAGAACCAGGGAACAAGCTCTCCCACTTCTCTCTCCAGTACTCCTAGCACTCGGGGCTATGCCACAAACCGTCCGAAATAGTCCCGAACCACTTCAATCCGTCCCAAACAATCCCAACCCACTTCAACACGATCTAACCCGTGCCAAACCGTGCCAAACCGTTCTAGACACTCCTAAACTCCTTTAATCATTCCTAAACTGTTCCAGCCCGTTCCAACCCGTGCCAAACCTATGCCAAACCACCTCAACACGTTCCAGCCCGTTCCAAACAATCCCCGACGTTACGAAGAATGCATAGCGAACATTCAACAATGCATATTCAACATTGCAAGCAGCATATTCTGGACGAGACGACACCTTGGCCATGGATCAAAAGGTAAAAATGGGGTATTAAGTATTAAAACGTCTAAACGAGCTCGATAGATGTCTCTGGCTACAGAACGAACACAAGAGTGGGATCGGGCATAGCGCTATCGATAGAGAGGTTATCGAAATCATTGTCGTTGATATACCACTACTTTGGTTAACCATCCGGATCGCTGTCGACTTGATCCGGGCTGTTATGGTTGTGGTTGGAGCGGATGCTCTCATTTCAAATATGCACCAAGTCAACATCGTCATCCATCTCTTAGTCATCCTTCTCATGGCCATTCGTCTCTTGGCTGTCTTCATTTTCTTTCCCGTCTTCGGTATCTTTATTTTCTTCAAATTCTGGATCCTCTCTTTTCTCTGCCATCCATTTCTTGTAAGTCCTCCATCGGCTCGCCTTCTTCCATTTATCGGTTTGATTGCCTTCCGGGGTGCCGTCGGGGTCCGTGTTGTTGGCAAATGCATCATTTTTCAAGTCTTCGTTGCCTTCGTTGATATCTTCGTCGAGGCCATCATCTCGGCCGTCGTGCTCAGATGTGCCATTCGCAGACCCAATACCCTCCTCAGGCGCCATCAGTCTCTCCATCTCCCGCAGTCTTGACACCAAGGGCGTCAGTGTGGTATCAACAATCTGGCGAATGGTGTTGACGACCCGTTGATCGTCGTGGAGCCGCTTGACTTTAGTCATCTGGACAAGATCCCTGTACATCTTGTCGAACCCGCCCGCGAGCAGGGCAGAAGCACTTCGCTCGCGAATCTCCTTGTCGGAATGGGGATGATGAACTTCTCCACTTCCAGAAGAAATCTCTGCCAGTGACGACGTTAACGCTTTGTCTGCTGCAGTGATAACTTCTTTCAGTGTCTTCTCAACCCTGATGACGTCGTGAAGTAGTGGTATGAATTTTGCAGTCAAAGATTGGGCTTGGGTTTGGGTGTGCAAACGCTCGAGATTATTTGGGCTGCTCGAACGCCTCAGGCTGGGAGTGTTGACACAAAAAGGGTCCGGAGAAACTTCTCTTTCGTCGTCATCTGTGGCACCAGACGTGACCTTGGGAGATGCTTGCCCCGCTCTGTCGCTGTCACTGGCACTAACTGCGACAGCATGAGACACTTCCAATTGCCCTCGCCCTCCGACAATATCTCGAGTGTTTTGATTCCACTCCTTTGGACCTTTACGGGCGGAAGCAGACTCTATCCCTCCCCGGAAGATGGGCAAGTAGAGGCAGCTGTCCTGGTCTACGATGTACGGAGTATATAGCCCAGCCTCATTCTGTTGGTAAACAAGACCATAGAACTTCATCTCGCCGTCCAAACCGCCGAAAGGTGTGACGACTAAGATCAGCCTGTTGTCGTGGTTGACGGTTATGGTACGGTCTGGCGTGACAACGGTACCAACAGCAATGTCACCGCAATATTCCCTCGCGTATTCTTTCTTGGCGGCGTCGGGGAGGTCGGCGACGGTAAAGCCGACGAGCAGGACTTCATCAATCCCTTTCGTCGGGTCGCTCCGAGATTGCTGCTCTTGGTCGGTGAGCTGCAGGTCTTGCATAGTCTGAAGATTTCGGTTAGATATCGCCATGGTCAGGGGCAGAGTTGAGGGGGCTCTAGTCATCAGTTTGATGACCTCGTAGCCATCCACCTCTTCAGGGATTGCAACGGCCCAGCCGTGGAAGTTGAACGCCATGTTGGGGATTTGTTGGCCACTGGGGATAACCATGGTTGCAGTTCGTCTGTGTAGATGTTGTCGTGCTTGTAGATGCAGCGGCAATCGGGTTGGATGCTCAAATTCCTTTCAAGCTGTGGGTTGTCTGAAACAAATGGAATTTCTCGTGCGCTTCCTGGGAGATGTGGATTGAGCTTAGAAGACCAAGAAGAAGCTTGGAGAGTTTCGGTAAACAGACTGACGCCAGCAAGTGGGCCCAATACGCAGTGAAGGAAAGCGCAACCGGAGTGAGGGGCGCAAAGCGGAAGGCAGGACTTTCTTTGGCAGGCGTGGGGCAGAAATCTTAAAATTACTGGAAGGAGTGTCAGTGAAGGCAGGCCAAGGTGGTGAAATGGTGAGTGGGTGCCAGGACGCGGAATTCAACCTCAAAGCCATCTCATCGAGCACTCAACCTTCACGCATCCTGCAAGTCCTGGTCTTGATGAAAGTATTGCGGTTCCATCGCCCTTTCATGAAATCTCAAGTAGGAAGCCATGGTAAGTTTGGGCTCATGAGCTTCTCACGGCCCAGCCTCAATCAAAGTGTCGATTGTCGAATGTGTCGGATGGACGGTTAAGCTCGTCAACGTCCTCTGTTGATTCCTGGCCGCAATGCTCCGACTCGGTATTTGTGACGTAGAACCAGTCTTCGCTCATCTCGGAGGAGACGCCATAGTCGTTGACCAAAGTCATGACGGCTTCCTTTGACCCTGTGCCCAGATTGTCGCCGATGACGCGCCGGACGAGTGGTACCAACGTCTTGTCATGCATCGGCGGCCTGTTGTAAATGGGCGGCCTGTCCGTTGGTTGCTGCTGCCACTTGGGCCCGAAGATGCTGTCCTCCTGAACCTTGACCAAGCTCAGGCGCATAGAGCTGTAGAACCGCATTTATGGGTTGAAGATGTCTGCCATGGTGCTTGAGATGTTGATGTCTGATTGGAAGATGTAGGTCGTTTGGAAGCGGCTTGCAGTTTTGTCGTCGCATGCCGACCGAATGGCGTTGATCAGGTCTTGTTGCAGCTCTCGCATTGACCATTCAATCTTGCGTCTGATGTGTATTGCCTGCAGCTCGGTGGCGGTGCGTCGGATTGTCTCGAGATACTGGGCAAAGGCATCCTAGTGTATGGTAGACAGGTTGGGTGAGGATCTGGTGCCTTGGCTATCTCGGAGGCTTGGAGTTGCTGTAGGTATCTTCTTTGCGAACTTGCTGGTTCCTGGTGGTTTTGTGGTTCAGAGGCTGTTAGTGGGCGGTGGGAAGGGTTTTGTGTAATCATCCAATCATAAGTGACCATTTCGACGAAAAGGGCAATTGGGGCGTGCGCTTCGGATGAAATGCACGGGTGCTCCACCATACAGTTTCATCTGATATAAGCTCTTTTGTAGGTGTTCTGTCCTGGAGGTGGAGGGAGGGGCCAAGTCAGTGCGAGGTCAAGGAAAGGAAAGAAGATTGGAAGGAAAGAACGAGTGAAGGTTGTGCAGTCTGCACGGACATCTTGAAAGTGGCATCATCTTCTGCTCTTGTTAAGGAGAGCAGTTGGCTTCCGCTGCAGCGGCTAACAAGATCTTTCTCAGGTTCGAATCCATCAAGGTGAAGAAACGATAGGGGACGGAATCACGATGTACTTGATATAACAGAAGCAAATTCAATATGTACTATCATTGGTTACCACTATCTAACCCTCTTGATATCATATCTCATTATTTCGTCACCAAAGCAGCACTATCCAAGGACACCTCCACCACCTAAACAATGGAGCCGGTCTGGAACCACGGGTTGTTAGGATCATAGGGGAACTTCCTCACCACGATATCACCAGTGTAGCCCCATAAATCCGCCTCAACCGGCTCGAACACCAGCTTGCAAGTTCCCGTATAGTCATCGACCTTGGTCTTCTGCCCAAACGTCTCGACCTCGCTCGTCTTGCCATCCGAGTAGTTGATACGGACTTGGTTGACCGTCTTGCGACTCTCGTCTCCCTCAAAGTAGTTGCTGGGCATGAACTGCACACCAGCGTGCGCCGTGGTCATGACCGTGTTGGGCAGATCGCCTGTGTGGGGGGATGGTGCATACCCAGGTTGAGCCACAGGACAAGATCCTCTTGACGGAGGCTCTCGCCATCGAAGAACTTGGAAAAGTCAATGGGTGGGTCGTGAACGTCCTGGCTGTTGTAAGGGTGCGCCGCCTTGGGCTCGGTATCCTTGTGCTTGGAGATCTGGATGTCGTACTCAGCCCAGCGACCAGCATTGGCAAGGTTGGTAGAGTTGAGCACAGTCAAGTGGGCAGCGCCAGTTGACGGAAGGACACGGTAGCCACGGAACTCGCCATGCTTGTTCCTCGCGTCCTCATTGACAACGATGACTTGCGTGGCTGAGTTGGGAGCCCAGTTGAACCGGCCCTCATCCTCGCTTTCGACAAACGATCGCTCCAAGTGCATGGTGTTCCTGGGCTTGCCCTTAGCCCAGGGGTAGGTAACAGTAGAGGGCGACATGCTCATCAGTTCCACCGAATTGTTTGTGCCGAGGATGTCGAAATCCGCCTTGAAGTTAAGCACGTGGTCATGCATGCTGCCGGAGAGGTTGTCATGGATCTTGAAGCCATAGTCCTCGTTACCGGCAAAGTAGGCGGACTGGATGTAACCCGAGGCGCGGACCTCAACCGAGATAGAACCGTCAAGGAAGAACGAGTAGCTGAAAGAGTAGTCGTAGTTGCCGACAGTCGAGACGTACCGAATAACGAAGTACGTGTTCTTAGTCACCGAGGTGTAACGGTTGGTGGTGTGACGCTGGATCGGGTAATCGGAGACGTACTCGAACATGCAGATACTGTTGATATGCGTGTGGGTGGTCTCGGAGATGTAGAAGGAGGAGTTGAGGTAAGTGGCATGCGTGGGGCAGTCGTAGCCCTGGACGAGCTCAAAGGCATAGGGGCCAAATCCATAGAAAGTGTCAAGATATGAGATGCCAGAGTTCAACGGGTCGTTACCAGCGTAGTGAGCCAACGCCTCCTGCAGACCAAGCTCGTACAAAATTCTTTGGCCCTTGTAGCGAATGTCGTACAGAGCCATACCAGTATCACGAGTGAATCCGATGTAGAAGCTGAAATCCATCCACTCGACGTACTTTTGCTGATGATCGACGCCGTATCTCGCGCCAGCTGGAGCAACGATGGTCGGGGGGTGGTTATAATCCAGAGGAGGAACATCTCCGTTGTGGTCAGTGGCAGACCAGGCACCAGGGAGATTGGGACCGTTCTTCTTGAAGCAGGAGCTCCAGTACGCCTCACGGAACTCTTCGGTGGTGGCATAGAAGGTGCCGTTGTAGAGCCACCCCTCGAGCGACCACTTGCTAGGGTCACGACCCGTGATGTCGGACATGAAGTAAAGGCCCAGGGGCAGGAGGGTCTCGGCATCAAAAACATCGTCAGGAATTGTCCAGAAGCCGTCCCAACGGATGATCCTGCCATCATCCTGCCACAAGGGGTCGATACCCCAGACGTCAAGGGTATCGTTCTCGAAGCCCATGGCCGTGCCGTTCCATAGGTCGAGAGTGATATCGGCAATAGAGGCGCTAATCTTCCAGATCCACTCTTCGTACACAATGTCGTCGTCCGCACCGAGGTTGCGGACCTTTCCGTCACCGCTGGGCTTGTTGTAGGGGAAAGTAAGGGGCTCCCAGGAAACGGTTGTGTTGTCGAGTGGAAGAGGACCGACGAGGATGTCGGCATAGTAGGGGTTCTCGGTCGCGCGGTTGTTGAGGAGAACATGGGCATACTTGGTAGGGGCAGGCGCATCGCCATCAATGAAGGCAAGGGCGTCGGTCTTGTTTGGCCACATGGCCTCGACAAGTTGGCTACTGGCAGTTAGAATTTGAAGACCTCGTATTCAATGTGTTGAACTCACATAGTGTTATCCCAAGGTCCAGCATCATCGGTAACAGTCAGGTTGAACTCTTCTTGCCCAAAGAGCCATTCAACCACCGACGAAATTTCTTCACCTGTCAGCTGTCCCCAGACGTTGGGTTTGGGAGCAGTGATGGAATTTGCTAGGACTTGGGCGCAAGGCTCTTCGGCTCGCCGAGTGTAGCTCTGGCCCTCAACGGCACGCTTGATGTGATTCGACATCTTCTTGCGAGCAGGGCCTTTTCGTACCCAGTCGGCTTTGGGTTCGGGACTAGGTCGAGCAACGACATTGTAGGCGAGGGAGCTCAGCGCCAAGGCCGAGGCCACAATGGCTCGGGGGCTGAGAGTGTCGAGGAGACCCATTGTTGTCTGGTGAGCACAACTTTGGGGCAGAGAGTGGTGGTGTATAGCAGTTGCTAATGTCCTCCTCATGTTGACTCTAGGGGAGGCATCGCCAGCTTATATTTTCCCTAGCCATGATCAACAGGTACTGTCCCGTGTGGCCGTTCCTGGCCCGGGAAAGATACGTGAGAAGCTGATAGGAGATTGCTGTACGTCACGGCCTTTCCAACACTGACCGATTCGTCTACCAATAGTTTGACCAAGCTGACAGTAAGATCGGATATGCAAAGGTCCTGGATGTCTTATCGTAGGACTTGGAGGAGTAGCTATGGTACCAAATATTAGAGCTAGTGTCCAGGGTGTAGATGGATGATGGACCTGCATGTTGAAGAGACGGTGATGTGCCGGATAGGGTCTGTTTACCAGCCGGCCCACGGCACCCAAAGCCCCTGGGTACCTTTGGGGCTCCACGGTAGCATTGTTGTTTTCCCGATTGCTGTACTTCTATTCCGTTTTGGGTTAGGAGAGGCTGAAGTGGTTTAGGGTTGTTCGAGAAGCTGCCGTGTTATCGCAAGTTTTCGAGTGCCGAAATCGCTGCTGATGGTAGACGGCCGACCGACTCCGGGGCTGTGAAGACCATGATTCCAAATTCTCAATACCGTGAGGACAATAGGCATATTCTCCGAGACGAAGGAGGATGAAGACCCCGAGTTTGAGTCTTTGACATTTAGAGAAGTGGTGATATTGCAGAGTGACTGACATCTGTTTGTCCCACGTTGAGTGATGTCGAATCCCAAGTTCCCCCCGCGTTTGGAGAAGATGCCGGCCAGGGTGGGCTTATCGTCCACTGATAACTTGCCCGGCTGTAGCGCCCATTTGTGGTGTGGTTCGCCGAGCTGCAGTGAGCACGGCACCGAACGTGCCTGCCGCTCCACGGGCCTGTGATAGTGCGGGGTCGATGTGCCAAGCCCAGGTCCCCAATCGGTCTTTCCTGCTGTGTCTGCGTGCTTAGCTCGACGTCCACGGTACCTCTAGTTTACCTGAACAGCAAGAACTAAATGAAGGCTTCATCAACTTGATCATCGATTGTTCAGAATATGTTCCGATCAGTATCATGAATTTCCCTAACGATTCCATGTTCAAGTCCGGATCGTGTCAAGAGCATGATGCCGCGATAGTCTCATGGTCTCCCTCCGATTCCCGGCTCCCAAACACCAACCTCACTGTTCCTTATCTCTGAATGCTCTTCTTTACTGATAACGGCTCGATGAGCGACACAGATCTTATCTTCCTTTCACAGCTCACCACTCCATTCAGCTCTACGGTCTACCTGAATTGGTACACACTACAGTAACCTCGGCGACCAACAGGTTTTGGTGGGATGGGGATCCCTTCTACTCTCGTCGCTGCCTATCCTTATCAGCCACCAACACCGGCGTGGAGGTTAGTGGGTTACTTCCCCCGATCAGGCCAAGCTTTGTCTGGTTGTTGTTTGCAATACGAACAGCACATGGAAAATTCCTGGTATCAAGCGTCTATCAGGTGTTGCGCCATTCTATGTTAGACAATTCTATTCCCAACCACCTTCTCTCCTCAAACCTTTCTTCTTGCTGTTCCTTGAGGGGAGTGGTCAATCCCAGCCTCTGACCCCAAACAACGCCACTGTCTTCGCGTGTAAGTGACATTGGCAAGACCCTAACCCTCTCCTTTCAATATGGAGCCCAACCTTCCGCTCAAGACTTTGTCTACCGCCTCTACATTCAAGCCATACTGACTGTCTCGACTCTATGACTAGGAACGTAATAATCCTCTGATACTTCTTCCCTAGCATCAACCTTCTAGTCCCATTAGAACCTTCCCCAGGGCACCTCCAGCGCGCCGTCCTCCATGCCCGTCACCACCTGAATCCGCTTCGAGTCCGCGAACCGAAAGTACACCGTCCAAGACTTCCTAACGCCCGGCCAAGTGTCCTTCTTCCAAAATGCGTTCGTCATGCGGATCTGGCCTCTCCTTCCCTCGAAGAACTTGGCCAGTTCCTGCAACACCGATGGTGTTTCGATGCGCTCCGGTCCGTACAAGGCCGCCAGGATTTCCACCGAGCCATTGTAGGGAAGTCCCGTCCGCCACGGTCGGTTGATGGTTTGCGCAAACTGGGACATTTTTTCTGCAGGTTTCTGTTCTTTTGGATCGGCGTGCTTGTCTGCGCTGATGCTGAGAATCGAGGTATGCTCCGGAATATTGATCAGGTGCACTCCCCCGTTGTTGTTCAACCCCTCGAATTGGAAGAGTACTGTCAAGGTTTTGACGGTTCCATAAGCTGGATCAGGTGTCAACACCTTGTGGAGATTGTACATGTCGAAGGTAATGCTATCGTCGGATGCCACCATGGCCCGGATGTCGTCTGTGACGCTGACGCCACCCCAGGTAGCGCCGATAATCACCAGTCGGGGCGACTGGTTGGGACAATGGGGAAACATGTTGTCTGCTTCTTGGTAGGCTGGGCTGGGATCAGCACCACTGCTGCCCATGTAGATGTCGGTCTTGGGGTATTCGGAACCTTGGCCCTTGCCGTCGCTGCTAATGTTCTCCCAGTCGTTGAGCATCGTCATGATCGGCGTCAGAGAAGATGTTCGTAGTATCTCGGAGGCACTGACAACAGAATCGTGTACAAGATTAAGCGAGAACCGTGAAATGTAGAAAGTGAGGAATAGAAATCCAGCAACAGCTGACAAAACCATCAACTGAGCTACTATTTCTACTGCCTTCACGAGTATGACTGGTTCGCGGTAAGGCAGCCGTGGCTCCTGGGACGATGCTGCTTTTGGTAGGGCTCGCTTGGTCATTGTCGTGGCTAGGGTCTTCGTCGACGTTACACGGGTTATTGATTGGTGGTGGTGAGATCCTCCCTCTGCCTCGTTTGAGACTGGCTAATGGGTGGTGGCTGGTTTCTCGTCTATGAAGGGATTGAAAGTTCCAAAAGAAAAGTCCTGTGCCTTCCAATCCTAGTCCAAGTTCCAGGATTGGTGCCCGCCCAGGTCGACATATGCAGTCGGCAGACAGTCATCAGCAGACAGTCATCAGCAGACAATCATCAGCAGACATAAGGGACAAACTCCGTCGGTCTGTCGGAAATACACAGTAAATGCAGGTTATGGGAGAGGCATTGAGGCTCTCATTCCTAGGAAGATGATGCCATCCAAGACTGCTGTCGAACAAGTGGCTCGTTGAGCGGACAGAGGATGGACTTGCCATTCATTACTCTCTCCTCCCGCACCTCTGGTTTCAAACCAAAGCCCGAAACATCCTCAACTTCCCACATGGAAGGAACAGTCGAAGAAACGCTTCCCCAGCCTGCGCTTGACAAGTTTTATACGCAGTACGTCGAACCTGATGGCCGAACAGGCGTGCGAATGGTCTTAAAAACACGTTGACTTAAGACAAAACACCTCGAGGACATTCAGCCACGCATTTTTACATCTTCGTTACACATACTGACCAAAGGCCAAAAGCTTTCCATGGTCAAATGATCCCTAATAGACTCTAACTGAGGTATTCCCAGTTTGTTACGAGGCGCATCGCAGGTCTTTAACTGTCTTTCCTGACCAATGCGAGGATATTGGGCTGTCAAATATCACTTTATTCTTGCGAGTGCTGGATGGCATACATGCTTGATTACCTGACGGAATCTTCAATCCATGACCTCCCTCCTCCCAATACCGACGCACACTTCTTTATATTAATGGCTACCTCTGCCTACTTCGGTTTCTTCCGTACGTTTAACCAGCACACGGCTAGAATGAGCATCACATCAAATCAAAATGGCATGATCGCTCAACGGATGTCCGCCAAGTTGCCATATCACACGAGTGTTCCTTGTTAAGAATACAACATCCCCGAGTTCATTAGCATGATAGCATCATGGCAAGCGAACATGTCTACAACTATGTGCTTCAGCTCCATCGGGAAGGGAGCTACTCAACATTGTGCTACCTGTGGCAACGGTTACCAAGGGACCCAGCTACCAGAATCGACAAAGGACCGCACAATAACTGGAGGATGGTAGCAAACGTGTCTGTGATACAGCTAACGCGGCCACGACTTTTTGACAGCTGGTGCATCGTTTCACCCATCTCGTGTGTCGGTTACCCTCTTCACCTTCATGGTCCCATGTTCTGGAGTATTGAATAAGAGCATATATAGGTAGGTTTTGTGTTAGCTTTTCTCAAGATGCTTGGAACTGTTTACTTGGGCTTCGCCGGTTACCAGTCAGAGCCAGGCAGATATTCAGCTTCAACGTCTGCAAGGTAGCCCCAATCTGCCACAAGCTCTACAATCCTTCGAGATGAGCCCGCAATCGTTCAGCACAGCCCTCGCTCTGCTCCTCTTCCTCCTCTCTTTGGTTTCTCTTGGGCTAGCAGGACCACCCAGACACAAACATGAAATCCGAGACCTCCCCAGCGCCTTGACCAGCACCCAAACCGAGGACGAAACCACATACTACAGTGAAGCTACCGAGACCTACATCTCCCTACCACCACTTTGGCCACCACGACCAACACCACACAGCAGCAGCACGGATTCACCATCCACATTCTCAACATCATCACCAGAATACCCTTACGACACCGAATCTGACACCACCACCACGTCATGGAACTGGACCTTCACACCAAGTACCACCTGGAACTTCACCACACCTTGGAATACGACCTGGACAGGCTACCCCGAGCCCACCACGGCCTCCAACATCACCACACCTTTCACCCACTTCACCGGATCACCATTCACCAGTAACAGCCCGCCCTACTTCACCTGGTCCAGCTACTCTGACACCTGGGGCGACCACAACACATACCCCACGCCCAGCAGCGCCAGTCCAGGCTGGACATATGAAGATATAACGACGACCATCTCCGTCATCAAAACCCTGACTTCCTTCACCACCACCGTTGTCAAGTCCAAGACCGTCAGGCCGTCCCCAAAACCGCCCATAACATCCAACACGTTCACATTCAAGACCACACCCTTTGCAAACCTAACAACGTTTACTTCTCCCAAGTGGACGACCCTCCCTATCGCTTCACTGACGGGTAACCCCTTCTGTTCGAACGCGGCGGACCCGGATAATGGGATTGGGAATCATTGCGTTTGTGACAATGGGGAGACGGTCGGGGTGATTCCGTTCAGTAAGGGGGGCAATGCGAGTGATTATCAGCCTTGTGCTTATACCACTGTTGGGTATTGAGAAAGATAAGTGGGAGGAAAGGGGGGTAGAAAGAGGAAGAAATGGGGTGGTGATGACGGGATGAAAGGAGTGGGGATTATGAGAAATAAATCTGAGATCTGCTTTCAACATGGTCCGCTGGCTCAATGGCAGAGCGTCTGACTACGAATCAGGAGGTTCCAGGTTCGACCCCTGGGGTGGATCGAGTTTCTTTTCTCTTTTGTTTCTTTTTACATGTTAGAAACTTGTTTCCTCTAGAAGAAACCAACGTCGCTGAAGGTAAACTTTTTTTTGTGGTGATTTCCCAAGAGTACCCGGTCATGACTGCGATTCTCAGAGACCGTGAACATCAGCGTCAGCAATCGGTGCGAATAAAGTGCTTACATCGGAGCACTGTCCTCGCCAAAACCCGCTTTTGAGACGTTGTCATCATCATTTCTGACTTGCAGCTTACACGCTGCACTGACATGGACTCGGATCAGATACTGCGAAACAACTCCTTCCACTTGAGTCTCTCTTCACCTCCCACCTTCCATCGCAGCTTCCCAAGATCACCATTACCGTCTTCAATCCTCCTTCAAACCCTCCATCTCCATCTCCACCCCGAATCCCTTCTCTCCAACGGCTCCTCCACCTTCCCCGCATCATCATCAACCCCAGCGGCCTTCCCCATCCTCCTCTCCCGCTCCCTCTTCTCCTCCCTCTTTCTCCGCCTACTCGACAAATCCGTCCCATGCAATTTATCCATCAACCCCGGAATTGCCCCAAACTCGACATTAAACAGCTCATGATGCGCATCATGATCCCTTGCCATCTCCATGATCCCAAACAACTTGAAATCATAACCCGAATGCACCGTCGCCGTCTCGACCAACATGATGGCCAAGAACGTCCAAAAGGTCAGGATATGCACCCTCAACACCATGGCCGGGATGGCAATCGGTAGGGTGTTGGCAAAGATGTGTTCAACCGGATGCGCGTATTGAGCGGATAATGCTGTCGGGGCGGTGAACTCGTGGTGTTTCTTGTGGATCATCTTGTAGAAGCGCGGCGTGTGGAAGAGCCGGTGGATGTAGTAGAAGATGAACTCGCGGGCGACGATGCAGAGGGGGATTTGCCAGGCCATTTCTCCCCAAAAACTGGGCGGGTCAGCGGAGATGTCAAAACGGGAGCCGCGGCCGGAGCGGATGGCGAGGGTGGTGAGGGTTAGTGAGGAGATGATGTTGAAGCACTGGTTGCGCAAGACGATGAGGGCGCAGTGCCGGATTTCGCGCCAGGAAGGCTGCTTGAAGGGCGGTTGGATCTTGTGCCGGGCCGAGAAGGAGGGGAATAAGGGGTCCAGGAAGGTGTACGACAAAGCTGGGATCCAGAAGAAGATGAGTTGAGTTAGGAGAGTGCCCCAGAATTCGATCTGATGAGGGGAGTAGGTTTGTACGAAATGTGTCCAGAGGGCGAGGGGGAAGCCCATCTTGACGGCGTTGTGCGGTTGTGGCGATGCCGTGATAGACAGTCTTCGTGGTTGGAGGTGGTGGTAGTGGAAGAGGTGGCAGAACACCACGACAGAAATCACCAACGGCCGTGCAGGACAGCACCGGTTATGAGCGGATTTAAGAAGTCTGGTCTGGAGAAAAAACCTCGGTCTCAACTCCACAACACATGCAAAGTCGCATGAGATGCTACCCCGGACCTCTACGCGAATCACCATGCTCACCAGGCCCATATCGATCACTTTGCCACTCGCACTCGCTCAAAGCGGTTGCGGTGGGCAATAAGGCCGCTAAACCCCGCGCCTTTGAGAACAAGTCTTAACTCAAAGGGGGAACGAAGGGGAATAATCTTTGTTTCATGCACTCCTATTTGTTCGCGATGTAACTCCATATGGTAACTGAATTACCCCAGAACTTGGCAGTCAGATGCTTGGAAGCATGGCCTTACTCCACTGATGGACGACGGTGATGGAGAGGACGCAGGAACAATCGTCCTTCCGGAAAGGTTGAATGCCTTCAACTCTCAGGCACCTTCAAGATATCATCTACAAACACCACCTGCCCCGTCTCGATCGACCGATTCGCCGCAATCCCCGTTAATATCGACGCCGCCCCATCGACATGGCTGGCCGCGCGCATGTACTCATCCGTCGTCGGCACTCCGAACAAGTCATTCAGCAACACACTATCCCCTCCGCCATGAGCGCCTTTGCTCTCCTCAATCTCAATCTCCCTCGGTTGCTCAAACAACGGCCTTAACAAGATCGTCCGCTTCTCCAACGCACCCTCCAGCGCCTGGTCTCCTCCCGAATTGACATAGCTATTCTCCACCACCTCCACCTCTAACCGGCCGCCCGTCCCGTTAAAGTTCACGCGGAACCCTTCCCACGGAGCGTAAGCCGTCAAAGAATACGTCATGACCGCCCCGTTGCGATACCGGATCAACAGGTTCATGGTATCCTCGATGCTAATCCCGTCGCTAAAAACGCTCTGGTCGCGATAGTACCCATCCTCGCCTTCGGCATCGAGGTACAGCGCCTTGAGCGCCGGGATGGTCTCCAGGTCTAGAGCGAAGGGATCCTCTTTGGCGACTTCGCTGCCGCGAGTGCGGCTGTAGAACTTGGTCACACCGCGTTTCTCGGCGTTCTCCTTGCCGTAGAACTTGAGGTCGCCCTGGGCAAAGACGGATAGAGGACGGGTCTGCAGCCAAAAGTTGACCAGGTCGAAGTGGTGGGTGGACTTGTGGACGAGCAGGCCGCCGCTGTTCTTCTTATCGCGGTGCCAGCGCCGGAAGTAATCGGCGCCGTGCGAGGTGTTGAGAAGCCACTCGAAGTGGATGGAGGTCACGGTGCCGATGGCGCCGGAGCGCAAAATCTCAAACACTTTGGTGTTGTGCGGGGCGTACCGGTAGTTGAAGGTAACCCGGACCTTGCCGCCCGTGCGATCGACAGCCGAGAAGATGTCGCGGCATCGGGAGGCGTCGATGGTCATGGGCTTTTCGGTGATGACGTTGCAGCCGAGCTCGAGGGCGCGGACAATGTAGATGTTGTGCGTGCGGTCGATCGTGGTCACAATCACCTCGTCTGGAGCAGTGGATTTGATCATGGCATCGAAGTCGGCGGCCAGAAAGGTGGGAACTTTTCCGTGGCCCAGGGACTCGAGCTGGCCGTTGGCGTAATCCATCCTGATCTGATTTGTATCGCATAATCCGACAACGCATGAGGTCGAGCTGTAATCCGTTGCAATGGCGTTGTAGAAGAAGCCGGCTCGGCCACCCGTGCCGACGATGGCATACCGCTTTCTTCCCGTACCGCCTTTGGCAACGGACTGGGATGCTTCACTCATCTTGAGGGTGGCCGTTCAGATCCAGCCAGCTGGGAGAAAGTCGAGTCGTGAAATACAATGTTGGGTGCCAGGCAGGAGAATGTCAGTTGTGTAGCAAAAGGCACGAGGCGAGGAACGTCAAGAGGAAAAGAGGGTTGAAGAGCAGTCATTGTCAAGATGGATATCTTCCATGTTCCTCGGCTGGCTTGCCTCCTCGGTCATAGATAACCCAGATCCCGAACATTAGGCTGAAGAGCACGAATGGATCGGCACTGGTGCGGGCTTGATGGGGGAAATGGTAGCATACAACCCCAACATCACTGCATCCTTCAACCCTCTAAAACGCGGGGGAGTGCGGAGAGGGCTAGATCATGGCATGGGATTGGGTTGGTTAAACACAGGACTAGTTCTACATGGTCTGACGAGTTGACATATCACGACGCTTGCCTGTCCGCGTTATATTGGTGTAGACGAAGGGGCAGGTGACCAACCTACCTGGAAGTCATCCAAACTCTACAGACACTAAAGTCAAGGATGCTTTCCTTTGGCTGTACTGTTACTAGATGAGGAGGTGGCTCGCTATCGATGCATCCATGGTCTGTCCCAGACTTAGGGAAACACCCAATCCTTTTTCCCACCCACGTGGTGTCGTTCGGGGTAAAGGAAGGCGATCGATGGTCCAGCGCCCTTTATCACAAGGGGCTGCCCCTGTTGCACGCGGCATCCGTCGTGTCGATGATCCAGCACTTGCAAAGATCCCACATTAATAACAACACCTTGGACCGAAGACAATCATGGCTCCAGACCAAAGCAAGGGACAGGACGATATCAGTCTTGCGCCTGTTCATGAAGAGCCCACTATAAAGATAGCTCACGACAAGGCTACGGACTTCCTTGCGAGCCACGCCGACGGCGGAACGTCCTTCACCGCCGAAGAGGAAAAGGCCGTTCTTCGCCGGATCGACCTTCGTGTTCTGCCGTTGCTCCTCGGTGCATACTTCTTTCAGCAGCTAGACAAAAGCTCGCTCAGTTATGTCTCCATCTTTGGAATCACCGAAGACGCACACCTGGTGGGCAAGCAGTACTCATGGCTGGGTTCCATCCTGTACCTCGCACAGCTCTTCTGGCAACCCGCAGCAGCCTTCATCCTCGTCAAGCTCCCCACCGGCAAGGTAATTGCGGCCGCCATTTTCCTCTGGGGTTGTTCTCTTGCCATCATGTCTGCTTGCACCGACTTTAAATCCTTGCTCGGGATGCGTTTTGTACTCGGGTCTTTCGAAGCCATGATCGCGCCGAGCTGCGTTGCTGTCACGCAAATGTGGTGGCGCCGGAGCGAACAGACTCTGCGGACGAGCTACTGGAACGCCATGAACGGTGTGACTTTTATCGTGGGAAGCCTCTTCACCTACGGCCTGGGTCATATCCACAGCGAGAAGATGTTCCGCTACCAGATAATCTTTTTGTTCTGCGGCCTCTTGACAGTTTTGTACTCTGTTGTTGCTCTAGTCTTCATGCCAGACTCCCCGATGGAGGCCAAATATCTCCGGGAACGGGAGAAGGTCATTGCGGTCGAGCGGCTCAGAGCGAACCAGATGGGTGTGGCGTCTAGGACATGGCGATGGGGCCATGTGGTGGAAACGCTCTTGGACATGAAGACATGGTGTTGGTTCATTGCTATTATTGCGATCTCGTAAGTGTACTGTCTGTTTCTGGTACGCGTTAAGATCAGCAAAAAGAACACCAAGCTGACCTTGGCACACAGCATCGCCAGCGGTGGCATCGGGACTTTTGGCAACCTCATCGTCAAGTCGTTTGGATACTCGAGCTTCGAGACCATTCTGTTCAACATTCCGTTCGGCGTGATCCAGGTCGTTGCCATTGTCGGCACTGGGTGGTTAGCCACCAGGTTCCAGCGCAAAGGCTTGGTGATTGCTGGCGTCAGCGTCCTGCCCACCATCGGGACTATCCTGATGCTGACGGTGTCGCGAGAGCACAAGGGCGTCCTGTTGTTTGGCTATTACCTGGTGTCGTGCATGGCCGCCATCACGCCGCTGATCTACGCATGGCAGGCGCAGAACACGGGAGGCGACACCAAGAAGAAGTGCACGTCGGCCATGGTGTTTATCGGAATGTGCACGGGCAACGTCATCGGCCCTCTGCTGTACTCGACCGACCAGGCGCCTCTTTACCGACCCGGGCTGATCGCCGACCTGATCATGTTCGTACTGGTGGGTGTCCTGTCGGCCCTGATCCCCTTCTACCTCGTGTTTCTCAACCGCCGCCATGCTCGGAGACGAGAGGAGCTGGGAAAGACGGCGGACGTGGTGGACGAGTCGATGGTTGGCAAGAGGCAGCTGGAGATGAGCAAGGCGGTCGAGGTTGAAGAAGGAGGGGGCGCGGGTGCTGATGCCCATCATCAACGGTCGCTCGAGGAGGATAACGCTCTGCAGGACATGACGGATCTGCGGAACGAGGATTTCATTTTTGTGTATTGAGATGGCTGGAGATCTGTCGTGTGCCCTGGTGTTCATATGGAAGTGGTTTCGGGAAGAGGATGGGGACGGCGCTGTTAGAGTGACCGGACGTGTCACGGACGTGATTTACAGCGGGCCACACCCCATAACGGGCCGCCGTTCAGCAGACCCCGCAGCGGAGATGGCAGCTCCCCCAGGCCCCGCCCGCTACGGCTGCAGGTCCGGTGTCATTGCCCCCCGCTTTCCCTGGCCGCTTTCCGCTGTGGGACGAACACTACCTCCAGGGGCAACCAATGTACTTCAGTTGTGTTGAGGCTCGTCTTTGGCAACGGCATCAAACATCGTTAATCTACTCAAAAAGCAGGCGGCCATTCGTAACTGATTTTTTTTAATCATGAAATCGCTTGTAGTGCCTTCAAGAATCATAGGCCCGACCTGTTCCACTCTATACTTGTACGCTAAGGTAGGGAAGCTGCAGGTTACAACCCCCGCGATGACTCCTTCTCATTGTTATGACTCCACTAACACAACAGGTACCAATTCTAGGCAACAGCGCCTCCACTAAAGGTACATCCCACATGGTGCTTTATAGCGTGGGGCTGTTCACTTCCTTCTCATCCTTCCTCTTTCATCCTCTCTTTGTCTTTTCTTCATCACTTTTCATCCTACTACTCAATCCACATCTTCACTTCCCCCTATCCGTCCCGTATTCCCTGCTTCGATCCAACAACCATGGTGCTAGAAGGACACGACCTCCCATGCAATCTCTGCCAGGCCATCATTCCACCAGTCCCGCAAGACCTCAACCATGTCGACGCGCCGGTTCCCAGGCTGGCATGGAATCGAGAGGCCAGGGCAGTGAGAGCATTCAGAGACACTTCCTCTCCCTTCCTTACTGGTGTTGGCTATTTGACCAGGTGGGGAGTGCTCCAGGCTAGTCATGATCCTGATGTTCCCTACTTGACAGAGGCAGGGCTGCTCAATCCCAGTGCTCGGAATGATGTTGTCTTGGGCCAGTCTGGCAACAGTCAGGCTAACAACCCCAAGTATCTCACCTTCGTCTTCCACGATGCTTGCTGGCAACTGTTCTTGGCCGGCATTCTGCGCCGTCTCCCAGACTTTGTCACAACTTGCCGCACCCCCCAAGAGCAGGTTGGACTTGTCGCCGAGGCTTTGTTCAGATATCTCTCGTGTATGCCACTCACCAAGCTCAACCACGTGGTGGTTCAGCACGAACTCGCCTCTTACCGCGCCGTCGATTACGTTTGGCCCCGGGACTACGCTACCCCCGACGAGGCCATTATAATGGCAAATCCCTCTAACCTACCAACACTGGACGGTTTACCACAAGTGGCTGGCCATCAACATAATGACCACCTTTACACCATCAACCCCAACTTTCACTCCTCGTCTTCAACAGATGCTCCCTTTTCCACGCTCCCCGAAGAGTTGATTCACCAGATTCTGAATCTCCTCCCTTCCCCTGATGTCTGCAACCTTCGCCTAGCATCTAGGTCGGTTGCCAGCGTCTCGAGCCCTTTGCAGCTTCCCATGTCCTTCTGGGCCAGTCGCTTCGAGTGTGAAAACGACATGGGCTTCTTCTACCCTGGCCGTCCCTTTCCCGATACCAAGCCACCTACCGATTATCGTCAACTCCATTCCACACTCAGGCTCGAGTTGAGCAAGGTGACTGAAGTCATGAACCTGAGAAACAGACGCCGTATCTGGTGCATGTTGCAAGACATGTCCCGTTGCATTACTCTGGCAATTGAGCACATCTGGTCGTCAACGGACAGTAACAGTGGTACAGGTACTCCTTCCGTACGCATTCCCGAGGGCCACGTAGCCGGGAGATTGGTTTGTCCCCTGCCTCTCCGCGGTGGTCCTGTTACTGAGGCATTGCAACGTAGCGTTGGCACCACCATCTTTGCTAGGCAAGCGGCCGTATTTACAAAACCTTTACTACAGGCGCCCGTGTGCGTCGGTGTATCGTTCCTGAGAGTTGACCAACGTCCCTATGTCTGTGGCATCAGGGTCCTGTCTGCTAGGTCTGATAGGGCTTGTAGAGTGGGCGTCATTATCCAAGAAAGCGAAAGTATCGTCGCCTTGAAAGCTGATGAGGAGTTGGCTGGCTTCCGCGTGGCATGTCTTGCCAATGGTGTAGTTGGCTTGGGTGTTCTAGTTCGGCCTGTTGCTAACCCTGAGTGTGCCCCCATGCTTCATCCCTTCACAGTGGGCAACCTGGATACAAGCGCCAGTGGCTTGGGTCTTGCGGACCTTATCCCTATCGGCGGAGGCCTTCCAACGGGCATCATCGCTGGGCTTGATGTAAGTACCAGGTACTTCTTCGTCCTACATGGCGCCAAAAGCCACGGACTAACATTGATACAGGCTGCCTGCAGAATTGTCTCTCTTCAGCTGCTTGAAAGCCAGTCATCGGCTGTCTGCAAGGAGCAAGAGGAGATCCCTAGTGGCCCCTTCGTGAAGGAGGCCACGCAGCCACGCTCACAGGCTGTGCTGTGGAGTCCCTCCATCCCTCAAAACGCCAACGACATCATCACTCCCAAGACAAAGCCAGGAATGCACGGCTCAGTTGCTGTGCGAGAAGATCAAGGCTCAGACTTTGTCCTCAACATCCCTTTTGGCGGTGAAAGAGGAGAGAGACTGAAGACACTCAACAGAATAGTTGCTTACGCAGATCCTTACTCGGCGTATGGGTCGTTCAAGGGCTTCGGCTTCCATTACGATGATGAGCCGGCTGAGGTATTTTATGGAGCGAGAAGGGACTACGATTCCTTTTCGATCGCGTTCCGCCCGTGCCTTCAGTCATCATTTCCCATCAACGGGAAAGGGGCGAATTCATCGACCACATATAGAGCTATTTGGCTTGGTATTGCAATGGTATAAGCTGGATGCTATAAAGGTCTGTAAACCATGTTCTTCCGTTTATGGATACGCTCAGCAGCTAACAGGTCCAGTAGATTACCACCAATTTTGGAAGATCTGTCCACTTCAAACATGAACCGGAGGGGTTTCCAAGACGGTTGACAACGTCCACAGGCACCCCTGAATTGAGCATGATCCACCCACCCGTCGGGTCAACGATTATCGGCTTGTATGCAAACACTCACGTACGTCATGAACAAGGCACATATCGATGACTGAACTGATGCTAACGCTTTTGAAGCAACCCTCGGGTTCTGTACAAGCCCTTGGGCTCCGATTTACTACCGAGGCCCAAGTTGCCCGACAATCTGCGGTTCGGGACCCGGCAGCGAGCCACAGGCTTCTGCTACCACTACCGCCAGTATACAAGTCAAGCAGTGTTGGAAAACTGGAGTTCGGCCATAGTAGCGGAGTCCGCCGGCTTGACAACATCAGCCGGATACGCGTCTCTTGTGGCTTGGTTTCTGGACCCCGAAAACCTCACACAATTTCGGGTCTCTGCTTCCAGTTCACTGACACGGATGAGCCTGTGTACTTGGGTCAATGGCTGAATGAAGTCGCGAGTTTTGATATTGGACAGGAGTCTGGGCGGATCGTTGCACTCACCACATGGAGACTTTGCGACCCAGATCCCCCATTGCGAGGAGCTGGGGGGAATCCATGGATTGATCCCTTTTCTCACCGTTTTCGCGCAGCGATGCTGTACACAGGGTTGGAGATTGAGACGGCTTCAGGGAAGGTCTTCAAGATCTCCCCAGACGACCCAGAACGACGTGGCTATGAAAAGGCGCATTTCCGGGAGAACGCCTTCGAAGAATTTGTAAGTCATGGCCCTAAGCAACTTGAGTACGTCAAACACATCGGCTAACATGAGCGAAAGGCCGGTCTGAGCTGGTCATATACCTTCTACTACGATTACTTTACCCCGCTTTACAGGCAAAAACACCAATCCCTCTCGGGTTTCCGCAACACCGGAACAGACCCAATCTTTTGGCAAGAGGCGCAAGACTGGCAAACAGGGACATGTTATGATCTTTCGGCAATCCATGTCATGTGGGGGCCTGCTGACCCTGTGGCAACGATGTCCGGACTACTGTTCGAATATGGAGGCGGGAAGGTTCGAAGACGGGTAGGGTCAACGAGCCTCCCGGGCGCGACAAGGCAATCACTCAAACTCGCCGAAGGAGAGAAGATCACATGGATAGGTATTCCCAGACCGGTAGGAACCGTACGTCAAGAAGGGTTTCTGTTTCAGGGGCCGCCCAGGAGAGTTGTAGACCGCAACTCGTTTTTCCATATCGAGGTAAGCATATCCGAAGACCTTGTCAATCTAACATGGAATCAAATTGGTAAGCTAATGCTCCTGACCAGTTCCATACAAGCTTGGGACAGAAAGTAGTGTTCTATCGCGAGATGTCCACAACTGAAGGAAGGGGTGAACACCTTGAAATCGCCTTCCCTTCTTACTTGTTTACACGTGATGGCAGATACGATCCGACGAGGGCCGTGCGGCCGTCGGCAAGCGTCATTGCGGCAGAAAGGAGAAGTACTGGGGAGGAGGGTGTGTCTTGGGATGGAGACCATCAGAATGTGGGCCTCGGCATCTTTGTAGGAGACCCAGACCCTACAGGCTCATTGACTTATGCGACGATAGATGCCATCCGCACACTGAGCGCGGGGCTTGCGGCGGAAATGAAGAACAAGTGATGTCCCGGGGACTGGCTGGAGGTATGATAGGCAGTTGGCCACCTTGCTTCATTCTCTTTTTCATTTTTTTTCATTTCTTGCTCTTTTTACTGGGTATTCTTGTCTACTCCGTTCTGAGCGACAAACAACATGGCTTCTCAATGTTTTGGCAATGAAGGTCATGACATTGGTGTCACAACAGTTTCCTATTGTTAGAGAAAACCCCCTTCATGTCCATACCGTATATAATGCAAAATTACTCATCTAGCCTCATCATCTGCTTGCCTCGAGCTCCATCCTGTCTCCTCACTCCGTCAACATTACCTTCCCTCAAACTTGTCAACCTCATTTAGGTAGGTACCTTACCAACTCTCCTCCAAAACCCTCCTCTCCCTCTCCAACCCCTCTAACTCACTTTCCAGCCTTCCTATCGTCCGTCCCAACTCATCCACAGTCCCCTGCCAATGTTGCACTCCAACAAACCTGACTTGTTCCTCCGTTCGGTACCTCCTAGCCCTGCAAGCGTTAGACGCCAAAGCCAGGAGATCGATGTCCTGCGAGTCTGGTGAGGGCGTACGTAGTAGGTGTGGAACTGTGGATGCGTGTAAAATACTTGCCAGTGAATCCTGTTCCCGCCGGAGAGAGAGCTTTGTTAGATTGAGCACGGCGAGGAGGGTGTTTAGTTGGTGGACGCGGTGGGCGCTGATTTTTCTTTGGGTTGCGGCTTAATGCCCTGATCGTCAGGACTAGGGGCGGGAACGGGACCGGGGACAATTAGAGATCCAGAGCCGGGGCCGGGAAGAGGAGGGAGCGGTTTGGAGAGAGATGGAGCGGAAAGAGAAAGCCCAGGATAGGGGGAAGGACACCTCGAGGTGGAGGTCGAGCTGGGATTGGAGGAGGAGGTGCTTGAAGAGGAGGAAGAAACGGGAGAAGGAACGGGAGAAGGAACGGGAGAAGGAGAGCGGGAAGGAAAGAGTGAACGGAGGTGAAGGTGGAGGTGCATCTTTGTTTGAACGGAAATTCCGGTGAGATTATGAAGGAAGGTGGGGTTCAGCGGGTGGTAGGTAACGATGAAGGCGTGCCTGAGTGAGTGAAACTGCTACTGCTACAATTGCTACAATTGCTTTGCCTGTGCCTGACAGGTGCTTTTGGTAGGTACCTGATGATGTTCGTTCAGGGAAGGAGTGTATGGCACGCGCTTCTCGTTACTTACCTCTACCCTGTGTCCTTAGTAGGTTGCTGACGAAGAGAGTGTGAATTGAACCTGGGTGGTGAGGCGGGAAAGAGGTTACACGACAGGTGATGATGATGGAGGCTTTATACCTGCTGAGGGTAAGAACAATGGATGAAGCCATTCAGAATACAATGGTGTTGTTCTTGGTTGGTCTTCCGGTGCTTTCTGCCAGTACTCTTTGTTCACTGAGAACTGCCTATTTCCGAGTTCCATTGTGTGGACGGAAGTGGCTGAGTGATCGAGTGGCTGAGGTGGAATGAAAAAGAACAAAGGTGGGAACAAGAGCGTTGTTCCTACCTTCTTCTGCTTTGTCTCTGCAGTGAGATGTGCCTTCAGGTGCTCACCAGCTACGGTACGTGGGCGAGTAGGCGTAAGGATAGACTAAACGTATTACACTCGTTTCATTACAAATCCCAGCGTCTTCATTATACCTTCAAACGCAACATTGATGCATTGTATACATTAGAGCGTTCGTGCCAACTGCGCCAACGACCATTGACCAGACGAACGGAAATCATCACCTCGTCTGCTTATTTCCGGGACAGCTACTAGTAACGTCAGTAATTCAGCCTTTCACCAGCAAATACTGGGGGATTGTTAAGATAGAGTTGTGGTATCCAAATTTTCATCTTGTGACTTCAACCCCATGAGCCTGAGTCTAACCCCTTACCCCTACTGACTACCATACAATCTTCCCCACGTTAAATAAAACAACAATAATAGCGGCAACCCTACTGACTACCATTCTGAGGTTGCGCGTCATCCGCCGAAAATGGAAGCTTGGCAAGAAGAGAAAGGCCTTCCGCCCATTCCTCGGTCCTCATACAACTGTTGGACTCCGTCCCTACCGACTGTACTGGTACATGCCACTTTTCCCATAGTCTCGAGCACTTGGCCAAGTGTGTGGCCCAGTTCGAGTCGACTCTTCGCGCCGTCCACCACTCAGCCCTAGCGCTCTCACCCTCCCAAGTGTCCGAGAAACCAGCAAGCTTGTCCGGGACCGGCTCTAACATCTCCCATAATTTTGGTGTGAAAAGTCCTTCTTGGTGAAGACTCGGCGCAAGATTATCAACCACAAGTCTGAGCATATCCACATCACGCGTCTCGCAGGAACCCTCCAGCGCAGCCATGAAGAACTCGAAATCAAAAGGTCCAGGACATTCCCAGTTCCCATCAAAGTGACATCGGGCGCCGTTAGATATGAGAATTCCTGCTAATGGTCGCCAATCCCAAGAATCATTCCAATGCCGCCGAATATACCTCGGTGTATGAATCCGTCTCTTCCACCAGACATACAAAAACATCCCCATAGCAGTGACTGGCCATGCCTCATAAGAGCCGCGGATATAGCGGCGAATATGGTACCCACAAACTAGGCATACAAGAGATGGGTCGGCTCCGTGGCGGAAGAGACGACAGATTGTGTCAAGAATGTAGTCGTAGCCGTAATCATGAGGAATTCTATCCAAGTCACGCTTGTCTACGTTCGCGAGCGTCCTGATCGCATCGTGAAGTGGCATGCGCTCAGGATAAGAGACCCCGCGTATCCCAGAAACAAGACCAAACCCCCCTCTTACTAACGAAGAACCTTGATTGAGGTCCAGCCCGTACATCGTGATCAACAGGTTGACAATATCTGGCAAGTGTTCAGGTGCCCCATTGTGAGGGCTGCTCCGACAGATAAGCCAGGACAGCAAATCATCGTCCCCGTAAGCTTGCCTGAGATCAAAGTCTTTGATATCGCAGAGCATACGATGCACGATCCCATATTTCCCTGGGGAGCAGTAGCGCTTTAGGTACACAGTCGACCCACATAACAGGGTATGGAATATGGGTCGCCAGAAGGGGATATGAGGGTCGTTGTCAGGTTGACGATAGCACCAGCACGGGTCTCGCGAAATACCATAGGGGCTTGCCTGTCCCTTGGTGATCATGTACATGACTGTGGCAGCAGGGTCCTTGTTAAGAGTGGTATCCATGGCGGGAACGACTATGGCGGGGTACAGGGGAACTTCATATAGGCAGTGGTCTTCATATATTACGAACATTTCGTCGTGAGGGTAGTTGTCGTAAAACGTGTCCCAGCGCTCGGTTTCAGCGAACTTGTAATCGAAGCAATTCGCCCCCGCACCCAAGCCCTTCAAACATAACTTGGCTTGATTGTCGGCGAGGAAGTCGATGATAGCATGCCGACCGTGTTCGGCACTTGACAGCAAGGCCTCCTTCCAGTGGCGCCTCCACAGGATGGGGTTGACGATGTCGTAGAATCGGCGACATGTTCCTGCCAACCGCGCCAAGTGTCTTCTGCGGACTTTATTGCGTTTGCGGTAGTTGCCAAAGCTGTGGTCGGGATCATGTTCGCAGTCAAGGCTTAGCTCGACGGCGATGACATGTAGGATTTCGGTGGGGAGGTGTACGATGGTGACCATCTTTGGGTTCGGAGGATGGCTTGGATGAATTTGAGTCGGCTTGGAAAGTCAAGGAGTAGGTTTATTATCGGTGTTGTTACCTTTGTTCGAAGCATACCTATTCGCCTTGAAATTTGATCTCAATGAGCTGGATGAGGATGCAGGCAGCGAATCGAGGGCATTATGAGGACTTATCACTTCGGTGAGTGAGTCAGAGCCTGCGGGCGCTCATTTCCACAGGCACAGGTAACATGGTCGTCTACTTGGGGGTTGTGGTGCAGCTTTGGGACCTTTGTTCAACCCCCGACTCGTTAAGTAGGAGGTCGGGAAAACGTAGAACAACTTTTTATTCTGGGACATCTGAGTTAGTGCTAAAATATAAGCAAATCTATTAGTGCAGAGCTTACGAGCATTTTAACTACGCCAACATTTTTTGAAAATTCTGAAAAAATTTGGGAAGCTCAAGAATACTTCAGTAAAGACCCCTTTGAAGTTGCATCAATTTTAGTTTGGGCATTGGGAAGGAAAATGGGATTGAGGACGTTCTTCCCATTTAAATTGCAAGCATCAGCGTGGCGGCTTGGCGAAGATTTTTGGATCTGAATACTGGCATTTTGGCTTGTTCCAAATTAAAAAGCTGTCCCAGATTTCTCCAACCCCTACTTAACGAGTAGGGGGGGGGGGGGGAATTCCTTGGCAACCGAACCCCCCAAGTAGAATAGCCCTACTCAGCACTTAGCGTGTGTTTCAAGCAGATCAGTGTTGTTGCCGAAACCGCGACTTCAACAGTGGTCTCGGCTCCGAAGAAGCGTTAATCATCCTCACACTGATAAGGAGCGATCAGAGCTAAGATAAGCAGCCACGACCCACAGCAGCCCGCAAGGTGCACGGCGACTCAAAGCATCCGTCGCCTTCCAAAGAAAGACCGGCCGAACTGAAGAAAGGGACATAACTATCAGATCCAATTCTTGTTGGTGTGTTGGATGATTCAGATCCATTGCGACTTCTGTCAGAAATCAGTATTGATTCATAATCTCACATGGTGTTGAGTCTCGATTTTGTTGACGACAACGGCACTCGCACTTGCCAAGAACACCGAGACCCCGCATGCTCAGGGATCAATAAGCCAGATGCTAACCTAAAAGGGTATTAAAGCTTTCCTCTCGGGCAAGGACATCACCTATATAACCGATTCGATGCATTGGAGAAGTCGCGACCGAATTGAAAGACGTGAAGCACGGCAGCGGGAGTCGTACAAACAGAAGGTGCATCATGTTGTATAAGATGGATGGGTGCTCCTGCTGAAGTCTCGAGAGTGTTTGCTTCCTTCCAATTCATCTCGTTCATCTGCCCGCTCTTATCTCCCTTGCATCAACCGACCCGAACTGCAGGAAGTCGGAACTCCCCATCCGCAACCCGTCCCGTGCTTGTCTGATAAAGCTATCCCCTCCCCGACTCTGTCGTCATTCCTTTTTGTGACTTCCATCAAACAACCCAAACACCATCATACTCAACCAAAACAAAACAATTTCCACCCAGCCGTCACAATGGCTCTTAGAACTATCCTCGTCACCGGCGCGACCGGCCAACAAGGCGGCGCCGTAGTCCGCGCCCTCCTCAACCACCGCAACTTCGACTCCTCCTCCCTGAAGATCCTCGCTCTTACTCGCAACGCCTCCAGCCCTTCGGCCCAGCGCCTCGTCGATTCTAGCAAGGGGGTCGTCCAGTTGATCCAGGGCGACTCGACCAACCCCAAGCCCATCTTCGATGCCCATCCCAAGGGCTCCATCGACTCGCTCTTCGTCGTCACCACGATGGGCAAGCAGCCAGAGGAGCAGCAGGCAATCCCGCTCATCGACACGGCCGTCGAGCACGGCGTCAAGCACGTCATCTTCTCATCGGTTGACCGTGGTGGCGACGAGAAGAGCTGGGACAACCCGTGCCCCGAGATCCCTCATTTCGTGGCCAAGCATAACGTCGAGCTGCACATCCGCAACAAGGCGGAGAAGGACCCGTCCAGATTTACCTGGACCATCCTGCGCCCCGTCGCCTTCATGGACAACTTCAACCCTGGCATCTTTTGCAAGCTCATGACGGCCATGTGGCGCTCCGCCCTCAAGCCCACCACCAAGTTGCAGCTCACGGGCGTCCGCGACATCGGCCTGTTTGCTGCCGAGGCCTTTTACAACCCGGACGAGTACGCCAGCAAGGCCGTGGGCATTTCCGGGGATGAGCTGACCTTGGAGGAGGCCCGCGAGAAGTTTGAGAAGGTTGTTGGCAAGGAGATGCCCGAGACGTACACCTTCCTGGGTAGCCTGATGCTCTGGATGGTCAAGGACATGGGCGCCATGTTTGCCTTCTTTGAGAACCAGGGCTATGGGGTGGATATCGCGGCCAAGAAAAAGATTGTGCCGACGGAGGACTTTGAGACGTGGTTGAAGGAGAGTAGCAAGTGGAAGTAGAAGCAGGAGGACACTGTTTTCGAGCGGAGGTGTACGATACCCTTTTGTCATTTTTTGTTTTGTTCTGTCAATGCTTGTCGATTGATTGCTTGCTTGCGTCGGAATACTTAACTTAATTGAGTGCACCCTAGAGGTTGTTTGGGTTTGCCTGAGGTGTCGTACAGACTGATCGTTCCAGCTGGCTGTGGTGATGAGTCCTATATTCCCCGCCGGGAGCTCCATGTGATGCTTCTTATAAATCCCCGATTCATGCCATTTGCAAAGTAAGTTCGGTGCTGATAGGATTACGTACTTAAGGTAGTAGAAGCTATAGGTAGTCGGGGATAAGGGACAGTTCTTGTGACTTGCTATTCGATCAGGCAGTGCACAGCTTATCGCAAGGGTATCGTAAACCGTAGGTGGCCCCGAAGTGGCAACGTCGTGAACGACGACTCCTCGCATCACTTGTTCGGATTACGATGTGGTTCATCCTGAGTGAGATATGGTGTTACATTCTTGTCGGATCGTCAGCTTAGGAGCGGCTGTCGTGCGGGGAAATGACCACCGTTCCTTACAAATTGGAATCCAAAAGGATCATACAACACGCGTCGGTTCTTGGCCCCTGCCGAACCGTAAGCATCAAAGGTATAAATCATTGAAATCCCACAAAGTTCACCTGGACCAAGTCACACGTCTCACACCTGCTCCCATCTAGAGAAAGACCGCTGCAACGAAAAAGACCAACAGTGGAAGCTCGTCATAAACATCCTCATCCATACGCAAACTCACCTACAAACCCCTTTAAATCCCCATCTACACAACCCAAGACCAATTCAAGTACTCATCATGTCAGCCAAATCCACTCTTGACCAAATCCTCCACCGCCACACCGTCCACCCGGACTCCCCTTCCACAAAGGACAAGCTCCTCGGCGCGTCCTTCGTCGTTGTCGACAAGTCCGGTCCCATTTACTCCGGCGCAGCCGGCCACACCTCCCTCCCCATAACTTCTTCTTCCTCACCCACTTTCGGGACCGACTCCTTCCTCTGGGTCGCCTCCCTCACCAAGCTCCTCACAACCATCTGTCTCATGCAACTAGTCCAACAAGGCAAACTTTCTCTCGATCAAGATGTTCGTGAGAAACTACCCGAGTTGACAAACGCCGGTATCCTTCGGGGTTTCGAGGCAGACAAAGAAGGGGAAGAGGCAAAAGGGAAGGCGATACTGGAGAAGATCGAGAAGCCAATTACGACCCGGCAGCTGCTCACGCACACCGTCGGTTTATCCTACGACGTGGGCCACCCGCTTCTGGAGCGATGGGCCAAGGAAGTAGGCAAAAAGGGTGACTCGAATTCCATGACGATGGAGGGGTGGACTACCCCTCTTTTGTTCCCGCCGGGTGACGGGTGGGTGTATGGAACGGGGTTGGATTGGGCGGGGATTTTACTTGAGCGAGTGCTGGGTGAGAACGACCAGAAGATGACGTTGGGACAGTACATGCGGAAGAACGTGTTCGAGCCATTGGGCATGGAGGCTTCAACCCTCAAGCCGGCGGCTGAGCCTGTCGAGAAACTGGAGAACAAAATGAAGGATAAGCTGGTCCCCGTTGCGCTGAGGGATGCCGAGACGGGCGAGCTGTCGCTGAGTGAACTGCCGATTCCGGCGGCGTGGGATCCTAAGAATGAAAGCGGAGGCTCGGGGCTGTGGACTACGGCGGATGATTATGGCAAGGTTTTGGCGGCGGTTTTGAGGACCTTTGACCAAGGGGACGGGGAGCTGGGACTCAGGAAGGAGATGGTCGATCTCATGTTTAGTCCGCAATTGAATGACAAGGGGTTGGAGATGATCAAGGAGATGGGGAGAGTATTTCATCCGGGCGTCATGCCTGAGTTTCCGGAAGGGTTCGAGGCGGTCGATCATGGTCTTGGTGGACTGCTGAATCTGGAGGATGTGGAGGGAAAGAGGAGGAAGGGGAGTATGATGTGGCATGGGTACTGCAATTCGCATTGGGTAAGTTTGTCCTTCTATCGTCGTGGTGAACGTACGGCTAACGCCAGATACAGTGGATTGATCGCGAAACGGGCATTGGTGCGTGCGTCTTGGTTGAACAGTTTCCCTTTGCCGACCCAGTGGTCATCCAGCTGTACAATGACCTCGAACGGGCGGTATATGGGGAGCTGGTCCCCGAGTGGAAGAAGGCCAAGGGTGTTTAGGTCTGCGTACCATGCTATCCAGAAATGGGCGGGTTACGGCTATAATTTACATCACCAGAGGCAATAGATCTCCTATTAAACTCTCGTGGAAGTCCTACAGACTTATGCCGTTGTTGGCCCTAAGGGCCAGAAACTTTTTCGCGCTTCTTCAACGGCTGCTTCCTCAATAGCTGCTGCTTCAGGAGATAAACTTGTATCTTCATCAAACCTCATCTGCGTCAGGAATTCCCCGGCTCCCTCGACAAGCTTATCGATGATGTCAGACTCTTTGCCATCGCCAGCCTCCGCAGCAGCCTTCAAGTCCTCGCCCAGGTAAGTTGGTAGCTTATCCAACCTCGTGGGCGGATCAACTCCCGCTTCCTTGTAGTTAACCCGTTGTTGCATTTTGGGCCCAAAGCCATCCATAACTTCTTGCAAGAACAACGTCGCCTCGTCAAACAGTCGTAAGTAGTCAAGCTGAAGAAGACCTTCGAGAAGTGACTGGACGGAGTCATCAACCAGCTGCAGCATCTCGATAGGCGATAACTTGGACAGAACCGCTTTGCGTCGCAAGTACTCCTCGGTCTTCTCATCCAACTTGGGTGGCGCAACCGAATAGGTACCTGTCCTGACAGCCGTAGTGCCGTTGACCTCTTCTCCGTTCTCCAACAACTCATTCGCCTCCCGTGTAGAAACTACAAGGGTGTCTGGGGTTATTCGGCGTCGTTCGAGCTGGAGTCGGTGCATGGCCAGATGCCCCATGTAGGCAATCTCGTAGTAATAGTCTTCTTCGGCAAACCCATATCGATAGTACAGAGTTCTTCGAATCTTGACCGATTGAGCGAAACCGGACCTACTTGCGAGATCGGGAGGCCCATCCCAGCCTGCTGGTGGCTTGATCGCGAGTTGGTAGTTGTGGATAATGGCGACAGGATCCTGTACCCCGAGGAAGCCGCTCTTGAATATGCTGTCGTCGAGATAAGTTTCGTTCAGCTTCTCCATGTTGGGCCAGACAGGCAAGCTTGGATCCGCAGCACGAGCGGCATGGTACAGGTAGGAAGCGGCCTCAAGAACGTAGGTGAAGGCAGCAAATTGGTGGCCCATTTCGCTATGCACAAGCCTTGCGCGGAAATCGAGGAGCCCTGCCCACACGGGCTCGTTCTTGAGGAGAAAGAACTCTTCTGGGTCTTCTTCAATGCCCATTTGTCGGAAGCGGAACATTTTATCTTCGTAGGTGAAGTCCTCTAGCAGGAACTCAGTGGTATCCTGGATGCGCTCGCTGTACTCCCGTTTGAATGCCCTGTCTCTGGTTACAGTGCTGGGATCGTGATCGCGAAGCGAATTCACGACTCTTTGGCCTGTCTTTTGCATTTCGTTGAACGGATTGATGACATCCTTTTCCATGATGTGGCGGATATCGACCCACAGGTGGAAGGAGAAGATGAGAGAAGACGTTACAATATGCCTCTTGAGCGATTCCTGCCAGTCTTGCAACAGTAGTGGCTCGGCTGGGAGCTTTGGGGGAACCTGCCCGTTCTTCTTGAGGGCCTTTAGCAAAGAACCCTCTGTGATCATCTGGAAGCTGATGGTGTTTCCGAATTTCTGCCAGGTCTTCATGTTATGTGCGCCATAGACAACCTGCTTCCGGGCTGAAGGTGGCAGCATGGGAACCTTGCCGGGAGAGATATTCTTGAGGGTCCGAATTATAGTACAATAAGACGGGAAGGCGAGCCAGCTGTTGGTTTGTTAGCTTGAGCGTATGGTTGTACGATACGGAGACAGGATGACTTACTCAGCCTCGTCCCTCCACAAACGCTCGTCGTGTTCCTCCTGGTTGAGGTCATCGTACGCATCGTAATCGATGTGTTCGAGGCCAACTTGAATAAAGAGCATGTCCATCATCCACTCGTAGCAGGTGAGGTCGGGATGGAACTTGAGCCCCTTCATGAGGTCCCACTCGAGCATGTGGAATAGCTCAAAGGCGGCGTTGGTGATGACGGCCAAGGTGTTCAGATGGACGGACCGGTCATACCAGTAGTCGCACCAACGCTCTTGCACGTAGTTTCGGATGGTGTTAAAGTCCTCGAAAAAGCAGTAGACCATCATGTAGAAGTCGAACTCGTCGTCTTCATCGTCCTCGTTTGCCGAGGGCAGGCCCCAGTCAAACGTGTCCAACCACGAATTTTCGTCGTTGTTGTCTGTCGCGGAGTGGCGAGATGACCGTGTCTCACTGCGCCGTTCCTTTTGCGGCTTCTTGGTTCTCTTTTTGCTCTTGTGTGATTTCTTGGACCTCGTGGACTTTCGGTCATCTTCGGACGGTGGGTCAGCTTGGTCATCTTCGGCTGCGTCTGCGTCGGGCGGCGTCTGAACCTCGAGATGGGTGAACATGTTGATGAGATCGGACAGGCCCATTGGGTTCTTTTCGTCGGGTTTCTCGTTCTTGGAGTCATTGCAGCGAGCCGAGATCAGGGCCTCGAACTTGGCAAGGATGCGCTCGAGGACGTTGATGATGTGGGCGTGGGTTTGGTTGCTCTCCTGGAGCTTTCGGTCGGCCGGTCGCTTGGCGGCGGCGCCACTGAAGAACTTGAAGCTTTTCTTGCGGAGGTTGACGACATCGCGGAGGATGTTGACGGCGGCATCGGGGATCTGCTCGGGCTCGGCGTTGTCGGCGATCTTGAGGGCGAGAATCTCGAGCTCGGTCCAGTGGACGGATTTGGCGCTTTCGACGTTGGTCTCGAGGCGCGGGTCGGCGAGGGGGGTGACGGTGGCTTTGGCTCGTGCCTTCTTTTGCCGTCGGGATTCTTTTATTACAGACGCCGGGGCTGTTTCGATGGCTTTTGTCTGGTCTTCGGAGGCATTGCCATTGTTCGGTTTTTGGGACACGACCTTGTCGGCGGTTTGTTTGACCCAGCTGGTGAACTGAGCCTGCGCAAGCTTATAACGAGCCCACGTACCGCGGCCCACTCGACTGTCTGTGGATTCCATGCTATATGTAGCTCAATGAAGAGGGACTCGGGTAAGGGCGTGTGCGGCGTGTCGACATTAGACGTATGTATTGTCGCTGCCGTATGTGTTGTTCGGTGTCAATTCATCCAAGAACCAGCATCGGCATCCAGTTATTTTTCGTGTCCAGTTGAACGACGTCACGCGTTCCAGGGGAAGGCGTACCCAGGGGCATGGCGGGGAGGTCCTCACTCCCC